TTTTGTAGAGCCTATTAAGACGTATCTAATAGTGGGTAGAGTGTCAAAATCGGCCTTGTGGGTGCTAGAATATCTTTAAAAAACTTTTCTTTTACTATGTAAATTTCTTTGCAAACAATAGTATTGTTTGCAAGGATATTTACATAGTAAAAGAAAGGTTTTTTAAAGATATTCTAGCACCCACAAGGCCGATTTTGACACTCTACCCACTATTAGATGCGTCTTAATAGGCTCTACAAAAGTCTCTTAAGCCAGAAAAGTGATTAATTTAGTATAAAAAAAAGTTTTAGATACATGCACTCTACATTTAGAAGATCTACAGATTTTATTATGATAATTCTCTGGTTAACTGGTGGATTACCAATTAACTATATTATTTATTGCTTATTGTACAGTGCAGGTATTCTTAAATTAGCAAGTCCTGTTATAAGTAGCCAAATTTTGCCTAAGATATAAGCCGGATCAAATTAAGTCAGAGCCAATCAAATTGCAGCAAATCGATACTAAAAAATTAAAAAAAAAGTATACCCAGCATTCAGATATAACACAACTATAGATAGTTAATAAATTATTAAATTATATTAAATATTATATAGACAATAAAATAATTAAAATTAGAAATCACAATAAGTTTCATATTTGTATCCAGTTTATATCGTGACTATAATAGTACACAACCTAACAATTATATTTACATAAAATTTTTGTTTGAATACATATACAAATTATGATGTAATTGAAATCTTAAACAATATGATTATTGTGGTTTGCATAATTTTGTGATCTCTATAATTAATTTTTTTATGATTAAATGATTGTGATCACGATTGTAATTGCTAAAGCCAGCCAATTCATCATATATCTGAGCTTAACATATACACAGATTCATAATAAATTGGCTAGCTTTAAAAATTGCTATTGCAATTACAATTATTTAATCATAAAAAAAAATATCATGGGGATTACAAAATTATGCAAACCACAATAATGAATAATCTTAATGATGCTTATTTATATAATTAATAAATCAAATAAATATTATAATCGATACTTTTAAATATTATTGTCAATTTTTTAGTAATATAAAAAATACAATTTGATTTCAATATACAATATATATACTAAAGTTATCTATCTTCCTTTAACCAATATGCTGCTAGCAAAATTTCAAAATAAAATTATTGAAATCAAAATTTGACAATAAATGAATATTTTATTTTTATTTTATTTAACTCCAATTCTTAACAATCCATCATATCTTTAATTTTTATAACAAATAAATACCTTAAATTTTTTTTAACCTGATCTAAATTAAAAGCTTAATTTATTAAAGAGTAAAAATTTATAAATACAAAATTATTAATAATACTAAAACTTTTGCTTACCTGTTTTGCTTATCTGTTATTCATTCACTACATCAATTTCATTTAAAATTGTATCCAGAACATAGTGATGTGAACAATATTTTTTTATAGCATATTCTGCAACTTTTCCAGTCATGCCTTTGCAATATATATCTATAAATCTAAAAGCCTTCTGAGCATATCATCTAATTTTAGTAAGAGATACTGATTCAAGAGCTTGTAGTATAGTTTTTTTCAAACCTTCCCAAGTATAGTTACAATAACATCATGCATATTGCTTCACTAACCCCAAAAGTTTTCTATATAATTTAACTTATAATAAAATTTTAGATAAAAAATAACTTCGTAACCTGCTAAAATAATCGCTTCTTCAAGTTTTCTACATTGTGCTTTAAAATCAGATTGATTTATCATTGTAGTTCTAGCACAACAGTCAATTCTTCTTTCTTTACAACCTTTTATATACTAACCTCATTTCATCATGTCACAATTCTTATTCACTCAAAACTTGCTTCAAGCTTTTTGGCTTACCACACAAATCAGGATCATCGTAATCATATCTTTTGCAGAATATTGTCTCCATATATGGTACTTCTAAAAATTTAAACAATTAAATATTAATATATAAAGAATTAAAAAATTTAAAATAATTTACAAACCTCATTTTTGGCTATTTGCCACTAGGAGATAAATTCATATTTTTTGCCACAAGGGCATCTTCGAAATATGCACAATGTCCAGTTGCATTGTCAAATCCAAAAAGGGCTTTTGTATCTGAAAACTGAGCTTCAAATATTGGAATTGCCTGATTTACAACCTGGTCCACAAGATCATCAGAATCCCACCACTTATCATCATTTTTACCGGGTAGGTTATAATACAAGCTTCTGATAGCAGGTTAAGAAAAGTGATCTAAAAATAGATTTTAGAGTTTTTAATTATAAAGAAAAAGTAAATTAAAATAAAATCTAAAAGTTGTGCATTTACCTTGTTTTCTTCACATAATACTAAATATCCACCAATATCTGTAAGAAATTCACTAACATAAACTAACTACTCTTGGCCTTTTTTACGAAGTGGCTGCTCCCTTTTTGGTATCTATAACCAACGTCTTCTGTCATATGCTGAGAAGATATACTCATTGTGTGTTACTAAAATTACAATATCTTGAAAAGCTAGTTGAGTTTCTTCTTCTATATTTTTACCAGAAAAAACTATCATGTGTTTTATATTCAGCCATTCTTTCTAAGAACCTTTCACAATAAGCTACTACATCTGCACACTCATGCCTATTTATATATATTCCTTTTCTGACTTCTGAATATTCAAACCCAAATGCTTTTAACCAATTTCTAGCCATTCTTATACATATAATTGGTGATGGATCAAAGCAAAGGTTTGGAAATATTTTTTTATTTACATAATTTGCCAGTTTATTTGCATTAACACACTATTTGTTTGATTGGAAAAAAGACTTAATCTGTATCAAAATATCATCATCCCATAAAAAACTCCAGGTTTTTGGATGTTTTCCTTGTTTTGAAATTAGAATTGCACCATTCTGAATATAATTTGTTGGCCATGCATATATGTAATGGGCATAATAAACACTCTTCCTAGCTGCTTCTGCTATAATAGTACTTGCTTCAACTCTCTTTCGGCCACGTTCTACAAGATACAAATAAGATAACATTGTATAAAAACGAGCTTTCTCGATCTTACTATACTTATCACTTTTGAATTTATTTTCTAATTGCTTGATTGTATTGTTTAAGTTTTTAGAAGATATTAAATTGTAGTCTCTAATAATCTCAACCTCAAAATCATCACTATCTGAACTAGTTGATTCATCATTCATACTTGTATTATCACTATCATTTATACTTGTATATGCATTTGCTATCTATTTAAAAAAAAGATAATTCAAATAAATATTTTTCATATTACTATAAAGTACAAGCCATTTGAAAAATAAATTACTGATAACCAACGTGATTCTAGCTTGGGTGTTCCAACTACAGCTTCTCATTGTAATTGTCTTCAACACCTTTTTGCTCTTATTGAATTTCCAACATATACAAGTGGCCGATGATTAGTCACTTCTGGGACTGCTTGCAACAATCTTGTAATAACGTTATTTACTTCTTTAGTTCTCAAAACACTTATTTCTGTATTACTACTCTCAATATCATTAAGTTCATCATCACTAATGCTACGAGTATCCTCAAAGTTATTAAATTCGTCACCACTAGTGCTAATAGTTTTTAAAACTTTTACCTGATGCTGATTTTTAGATTGTTTTTGTATTATAATCTCTTGTAACTAAGCCCTCCTTTTAGATAATCGTACCATTTTTTAATAATAGGGCTTTGCAAAGCTGATTAACGATTGCTAGGTTCTAAATATCAGCTTTTATATAAGTACTTTATATTTTATCTTAAATTAATTATATTTTATTTTTATTTTACTTACCTTTTTTCTTTTATCGAACTTCCTCTGATACAACTGCAAAATGAAAAAGAAAGACTTAACCTGTCTTCACTAGGGCTCTGCAAATGCCCATGCCCGGCATATTGGCACTATGCCAGGCATTAGTGCCCCCATGCTATGC